TGATGATACAAAATGTTTATGATACTGCATTGCGTAATTATATTGCGAATAACACGAAATGATCCGGTTTTGTAAAGCTTTTGTGTGCGCTGTCAATAAATGCCTTCAATCCAGTCAACTAAATATAAATGAAATCCAATAATTGAATAACGTCTATTTTATATTGTGTATGCCAGATAATGTTTGACAGTGATTTTTTGAAAGGCAAAAGTTCATTCATGAACATTATTCAATGGCATTTCCACATGCAGACGACTATTTGTGAACCACTAGAGAAAGCATAGTATTTCATTCATTTCATTTTAGTCGTAGTAATCTAGATTTGTGAATGAGAATGAAGCTTATAAAAGCTTGAATGTGTGTTGTTTTAAAGATAACGAAATCTATGACTATTTTAGGAATTTCCTTAAAAAATATGCTATCCATGATAATAATTATATAATTTTCCAATTACAAGTTTTATTCAAGAGACGTAGTTCACTGCACAATAGATTCATCAGTTGATCTGGTACATCAATATTACAATGGGATAGTACAATGTAAAATAATTTCTAGAAAACGGTGAGAAATAAGCTGATTGAAAAACAACGTCAACTCTCACGTAATAAGCTCGTACAGTAATAAGATTAGTTTTCCGCGTGATTTTTAGATTTATTACACTGTAAAATTGCTAGTTGTGTGACACAAACTTTTGCCAGGCTCTGTCTGTGATTTGAATTGACGAAAGAGATCTGTATTTGCGATAATAATATATCACATGTTTCGCTAAGACATTAGCTTTTTCAAGTGATTTGTGTGGGTACAAATCACTTGAAAAAGCTAATGTCTTAGCGAAACATGTGATATATGTTTCAAATAAAGTTTGTGGAGATCAAATGGTTGAGGTGTAGTTTTTGAAATTCAAATAATTTGCTGACGTTAGATATTGTCCGGTTATTTTCAATTGCATCCTCACTGCCTTTCTCAAAGATTGGGTCACCTTGAATTCACTTGGAAATATACTTCTTTCGATACACGCGTTACGAGGCCGTTTCTTTGACAATTCTACTATTAAGTTCGTATGCATCAAACGAGTTTGAGGTTTTCAGATCAACTATTGCCCCAGCAACTTCACTGTTCAAAATGGGTTTCATGAAAAAGGATCTTGGTGTATTTGGTCTGTCCGTTATTGATAGAGGAATATAACGGGAATTTGAGGGTGACATATCCTCAGATATACTCAGGCCTACGTTAACAAAATATGTATTGAAGTCATTCGCAGTGAACTTACTTTCGCGATGTTTGATACCATCTTCATTCTTTTCAAAATTAATAAGTCTTCAACTGTCTCTAACTTTATTTTCCGAATTTAAAATAAAGTCATCATATGAATATCTTTTCGCTGATAGTACCATATTTTGTTATTCAACGTTGAATACAAGATAAGCCTGTTTGTGTGTCTCATCATTTGTACAATCAAATATCGTTTTTATGGCTTGAACTTTATTTTTCATGATTTGCTAGACACATTTCTTTCTAGACACACACAGTAATCGTGTATAAGAATCAATTAGAAAAATAGTCATATCCTCAATTGAACTTAGCTCATATAAAATATTCCAATCGACTTCATCGAGAGAATTTTTAAAGTTTTTTTAAACCGTTTTTGGCGATGAATCTTTTTCTTGGTATTAATTTATTGTTATTTAACATACATTTTATTTTTATGTATTGGCCATAGTGGTCAGATTAACATGGGTCGATAGTATTTGTTTCATAACAGACCTGAAGGAAGACCGATACCCATGTCATTACTGGCACGGGTAGAAAGGAACTATCCTCAGGGGTTGTGGACGAGTTATTATGTCTAATGGACAAAAGAGTTATGTAGACGACTTAGTCATTATAGTCCAATGCAAACATAATAATATAATGAGGGGACGGAAACATCAGGTCTTGAATATTATTACAGATACTTATCCAAATCGATCATAGAGTATCCACCAAGAGAACCAAGACAGAGGAACTATGACCCATACAACTTCGAAGTGAAGTAATATTCGATCCCATCAATATTTAGAAAAAAAGTACGGCGGTAAGTAATGATGATCGAATCACCTACGAAAAGGTAAGGAAACTGAAACTAGTATTGTCTATACTCAATGGTGGTTTAACTCATGATACCATGTGCTTATTTAGGCAGCCAGTGATAAAACGAATGATAGCAGACTGTGAGTAATGAAAACCACACCAGTAGTAGCTTTGGTGACACATTTTGATCGAATCCCCCTTATATTTTGTAATAACGGTTGCAGTTACCTAAGGAGTGGATGACCTACAGTCATCCTGAAAACATGCTTGGCAGAAACACTTGATATACAGCGAGTCGAATACCGAACATGGGACGTGTGCTGGAATATACAGCTATGAGCTTGGACAATACGTACCCGTCTTCCAAAAATGAGTTGCAGCAACGAATATTTATTCCAAAAATCAACTGAATGTGTAAATCAATATTGAGCAATCAATATCAGCAAGGATGCTGATAGGCTAATTGACCCGAACATGTTATAATTATTAGTCTGGGAGTATCGTTAACAACTGAAGTAACTGTCGAACAATAGATTGAGTATACCTGGACACACAGAAATAACAAATAATGAAGAAGTTGCCCTGCAAGAATGGTCAGTTCAGTAGATGGAACATTAATCTGCTGTGGGATAACTAAAATCAATGGTACGGAAACAGATTCGGAAATGGATTTATAAGAAACATAAAGAGTACTGGGAAAATACATATGGGAATATACACGGGAAAATCTAATCCTTGTTTTTGAATTTCTCCATTCCTTCCTATTTAAACTTTTGAGCACGATCCCCATGTTGATCTGTGGACACCTGATTTGTTATCTTTATCTATGTTTGACCTGCTCTTCTTTATATCTACCCAATAAGTTACTGAAATCATATGCTAAGTTGATATTCTTTTCTGTTAGTACTATTTTCTTTTATCCGATAATTTTCCTGTATATGTGAGTATTTTGTTGGCTGAAAAAGTCATACAATTGAACATGTTCATAGTTGGTATCAAAGGGATCACGTGATCGTCTTCTTTCTCAGGAAGAAGAATCTAAATATTCAAATTTCACTCTCTTCAATGGTGAGGTAATTAGTCGCAACGAAGGTGATATGTAGGTGTCTTATCCCACTCGAATAAGGTTTTGTATAAAGCCAGGCTGTTCTTACGGACATGTCGAAGAATTTGCAGAAAATCTTGGGGTTAAGGTCCCAAACAAACCCATTGATTAAATGTGATGATTGTCAGACCAATGATCACATCTGGTGGATAGTGACATGCTTGCCAGGCTATCTCTGGTTCCATCAGCACCGCACTGTCAACGGCCATGAAAATCCTTCTAGACCTAACTCCTCTCCACGTTTTTCTTGAGAGGAAGGCTACATGAACAGTATTCAAAATCATTTATTTTGCCAATTGCACAAAACAGGCCTAAACGGAGTGCAGTAGACTACTGGATAACACAGAAAGTCACATTATACAGGGATTGACATCCGACTTAGACTCGGTGCAGGCGTACAATTCAGTGCGCCCCAAATTATGCGTCTAGGTTAAAGGTTCCCAAACTTTTCATAGGTCCACTTTCAGAATTTTGCTGGTTCCGGTGAACCCCCTGCAGCTACATTTCTACCATATTCCCAAAACTCGTCAGAAAATGTGAAGATTAGATCTAACTATGGAAATTTGCGTCGCGGCTGCATTCCAACCACGAATTGATAGTTTCCGAAAAAAAGGCAGTACTGATTGGTTAATTAATTGATTAATTGTGCTATTAGGGAAATGCTATCAAAAGCTTTCTCGCAATTCCTCACAGTCCAGGATATTTTTCGGGTATTTCTACCTGCAGCCAAAATGTTAGATACCCTTCTAATTAGTGCTAAGTTCGAGTAGCTCCTCTTGTAATATCACATTCTCCAGTTCCGTGGCATTGGTAAGTAATATTTATAGTGGTGAAGAATTAAAAAAAACTCATGCGCAATTGCAAGCACACACACACACACACACACACAAGTTGTATTTCGTTTCCTTCGCACGTCTGAAAACGCCTTGCGGACGACGGCTGCGGCGCTTTGCAAGTCTCGACACGTTGTACTGAATATGGAATTTGCAAGTTTATACATGTAACGGTCGCTGAGCTTCTTCAAATATTATCTGCCAACATTGATAGCTGAAGTCACGCCAAAATTTCAGTTCTTCACTATCGAAACCAGATACATTTTCATGAACCCCCGCTAATAAATTGTGAACCCCCATTTTATGGTCACGCCAACGTAGACCCCCGTCGAGTCTCTCGTGGACTCCTAGGGGTCCATCTGGACCATTTTGGGAATCACTGGTCTAGATGGACGTTGATAAAATACATTGTCTGTTAATGAGCTAACGTGAAAGTTATGGCTAGTCTGGACTCCTGGCCACATTGTTTTGAAAGGGAATGGGCCACAACATTCTACGGAAAACATCGACAAAGAAATCGGTCCTACAAGCAACTGAATGTCTTCATACTTTTGTGGCAATAATCATACGGAAGAGTGGCAGATAGTTTTTTGGATGGTGATTTGTAATATTTGACATAACAATCCGTTCAACGCATAACAGAAATTATAACTTCTACCAGAAATTCCAAAATTGAAGGTAGCCCAATTTGGATGACAATCAGTTTCAAAGTTTTACGAACTATTCTAATTGAACATTTGGAGTTCCTGTGGAAAGTATGATTGAATTTTCAATATCTTCTCGAATATAGAAGTAGCCCAAAATATGATTTTGAAATGTTCAGGTTTTGTCTTTATATCTCCGCAACAAACAAAGCTGAAGTCAATTTTTTCCCAGCCTAGAAATAAGTAACTTTGCCACAATCAAATCTATCATGTAGCTGCTTCCATTTATATTCCCAAACCCCTACGACAAATTGGCCATCCTTAAAATTGTTTTCTTTCTTGTTACAGGCGGAATCATCGCCATATCACCAGTCGCATACATCAGAATTGGGGAGCGGCAACTTGGAAGTGCCTGCGCCTAGTGCTGTTCTTGCGCAACGTTCATTATCACCATCTAGTGCCGTATCGGCTGAAACGCTCAGCCACAGTATGGGGTCTTCCAGAGCAAATTCCTTACCCCGACCCACGAGTCCATCGCCTTCAGTTGCCTCTGAAAAAACCGAGGTAGACCTCCAAGAGAAGCAGGAGAGGGAGGAAGAAGAACGCAAGCGGCGGATCCAACTTTACGTTTTTATATCGAGATGTATAGCCTACCCTTTCAATGCAAAACAGCCTACGGATATGACGAGGCGACAGACTAAAATTACCAAACACCAGTTAGAAAGTATTATAAATAGATTTCAGGTGAGCTAGTTGAATTATTTACTGTTACAATAGACATTTTGGCGATACACATTTTCTTTCTCCAGTGTCAGGTGCATGGGCTTTCAAAAACATGAAAGATTTAAAAGACGAAACAAAAAATGTTCGACGTATTTGCAATAAAAACCAAAATATTAGCAATAAACTATTGAAATTTATAGCTCAGCAGTGCGGCATATTGAAAAATTCACGAAAAATCGAAAAATGTGACTTTTTCAATTTTTTTTTAATCATACCTACAAAGTCTAACGAATGAATTCAGGAATGTAATTGAAAAAAAATGTTTTTTGATGAAAATTAGTTATTTTTAATGTATTTTACGTAAAACAAGCTATATTTTCAAGTAGTTTAAGCTCTAAAATAGCGAAAAATTTCTGTAATGGTCCATATAGTCAACTAAATGCCTTCATTTAACTTTTTAATATCATTTCACTAAAAAACAATGTTTAATACTAAACATTATTATAATCAAGAACTCTTTTGTCTTCGTAATCTTCATTAGATTCGGCGTTATTCAGAATCTGTCTGTTTAAAATCTGTTTTTCCGTTAATCAGCTGCCGCCCCCATACGAACGACAACTCTCAGAAGTTGAGAAACTTGTGTGAGCTAAGGACTAACGAGGTCTTACCTTTTAACGTTTGATTCCTAACACGTATAATCAGTATAAACGTATAATCAGCCACTTCTGCTTCTGTTGATTTTCTACATATTTTATCATGTCATCATCTGACGTATCTTGGTCGCTTAGATTTTCTACAAATCTATCATTATCAATAGAATTTTGAACTTGTGACATACAATTATCATCTGCCAAAGTATCAGCTCATGAATAATTATTATCTTTTCTATCAACAGTACTCATTGAAACTGGTTTTGTGTTATTACAAGTAATTTCACTGTAATTATTGCCGACTTGTGAACATCGCAACCCAGCTATTGAGTAGCACAGTTGGTATAACAGCTGCAGAACATCTGGAAATATTGTTTCAGCAATATGAGTTTTTGAAATCCACCAGATATTCGTTAGAACAACAGAAAGATTCTTGTTGAATACTCTTCGTGAGCAGAAAAATAGCAGAATCAATACTCCTGACCGTTCTAGATTGAATGATTCCGTAACGTCTATCTCGTCTTGTGTTTGTAGATCTTTTGCTGGAAAAATCCTCACTTGTTTACTTTGTAGTAAATATTCAAGAGGTAGCAAAAACGTATGTGATTTTCTGGAACATTAACTAGCGTTTCCTAATATGACTGATAACCAGTCCGTGCAAAGCTTATTATCAAATCATCTGAAAATGGAACTTTTTAAGGTTGATGATCAACTGTATTGCCAAACATGCGGCAAAAATAACTGACTATTATAAGAAAACACGAGTATAGCTGAGGTACCCGTCAATCAAATAATGACACTGATGATCTTCAAACATGACTCAACCTCTGAATTGGTAGATCAAGATCTTCAGATGATGTGGTGCTGCAGGTTTTTCCGGGTTTTTCTGCAGCTGAAAAAGCAAATGCGCCACTGGAATCAATGAAGACGCTTCCGAGCGCCAACTAATTTTTGTTGTTTCATAGTTTCATGATTTGTAAACTTGCGTTAAGTTAAAAAAAAATCGCAAATTTAAGAAATCTCCAGGTGCAGGTTAATCGGTTGTCATGATTGGAATTATCAACATATTGAGATGTTTCCATCCCCATTGCTAAGTTTGCTGAACTCCAGTTTTGAATTTGATAAAAAACTCGATAAGCATGTTGAAACACTGCTGGAATGTAGGAGAGAATGTAGGAGATAAAATTGCCAGTTGAATTTCGGCGTTAGTTTGCGTAGTTGAAGTAACAGAAAGTTTTTAACGCAGTTCTTTATTCATTTTTCATCGTTATGTCCATATAAATGATATATTAGTGAAGTTGCAGCATTTTGTATATCTTCTTTACTACTACTGGGATTAATGAAAACTTCTGATTATGCTCGTACTTGTTAATTTTTTTATAAGATCTTAATAATTTTATTCTACCTTTCCCAAATATGGCGCTGGTTGTGTCGTAACCTTCGAAAGCGTGAGCAAATAACATAAACTGTTTTTTTTGTTTTCGGAAGTGGAGTATCATTTGTTACCAAATTATTTCAAACTGGCTAGTTTATAAAATAAAACATTGTCATCTGTTGGTGTGAGACCAATCAATAAAACTAGTAAATTGATGTCGTTCCCAATAATTGCAACATAATTTCTACTATTATCATTCAAGTCTATTGCTGTATTGACAATAATTATATCAGTGTCTTTATCACCTCGCTTTACTTTCATTTCAGTTGATTTCAATAATTCACTTGATCACACGTTACAAGGTAAGACCTCATTAATCCTTAGCTTGCACAAGTTTCAACTTCTGAGGGTTGTCGTTCGTAGGGTTGCGACAGCTGGTTAACGGAAAAACAGATTTTAAACAAATTTTTTAATCTACTTGACTTGTTTATCTTTTCCAAGTCTTTTCTCCTGCATCTTTTCCACTGCAGCCTCATGGGTTCATTGCATTTTTTATACACTTCTTCAATAAAGAATTTTGAGGCAGAATAAATCAGGCAAAACCAAAAATAAGCATTTCACTTCAATAAAATAACAAGTATTTTGACAGTTTACATTTTTACCACAATCCCTCAGTGTCAGTTGATTGGAGTTTCCGATGGGCGATGATCTTCCTCCCCCTGATTATCGCATGAGTTCCAAGACGGACTTGGATGTCTTCACAGCCTAGCTCGAAGAGATGCGCGCCCCTCCTGAGGTACTCGATTCTCCCGACGAACTCGATTCTCCCGACGAACTCGACGCGGCAGTTGAACGTTTCGAGCTTTCTGTAGTCCCCCGTTAACGGATGAATAACTTTTTCATCCATCCCACCCCAGCCAGGTAGGGGTATCCCGTGAAGGGCGGCACTGATGTCTAAGGACTTCAGCCAAAAGGGTAGGGGAGCTGGTCTCCAAACTTGGATGAAATGACGATGACATTCTGGAGTTTCCGAGTTCTGTACGTGACGTAATCAAAAATCACATTTATAATTCGGAGTCGATCGTGGTTACATAAAACCAAAACGCTTTGAAGTACTTCGGTTTTAAATGTTTTCCATCAATTATTTCTTTTTTATGCCAATTAATGTTCTGAATTATTTTCATATCGATTATCCTTGAATAATTCCTACTTTTCTTCCAATTCTCCACAGCGATTTCAGTATATTTTTCACCATTTCTTTGTTTTGAAACATATCACTTTCATCTTCACCACGTTTTTTTTTTCGGAGAATGAAGTTAAAACGTTCAGTAATCAACAAGAAACATTGTCATCTTCACTCAGTTTCTACTCGATTTGTACTAGACTTAACAATCTCAACGTTCGAACATTTCCAATAAAACGGTGAAATAAACCCGAGTTTGTTCTTCAAACATTTCCGGGAAATGCTTCGATTGATAAGTCGAGTAAATCCAATTAAAGGAAGATAAATAATTTCAGTAAAGTACTATAAAAGACTGCGTATTCCTTTGTCGTACTACGTTCTTTGCGAAAAAGAAAAATATCTTGTTCTATTTTTACGTCAAAATAAATGATTGATGCGTTTTCTACAGGCCTTGACCTTTTTTCAACATACACCATTATAAATTAGGTGGAGAGTTTCAACTTCGTTGTGAAAGCTAAAACGAATATGTAGCAAGTGAGACAGGACTTCGATAATAATTGAGGTGCACATCGAAAATGATTGATAGAATGCCAATATAAAACCAATAATGAGTTTTGCAATCATTATGGCTAAGTATTACGATACATGTCAAGGCAAAAAATGTTATTATATTGATAGAAAACATGGACAGTAAACATATGCTTACATTTTTTTTTAACATTATTAGCTTGACCATGGAGAGGTTACCGGTTTTACCTGATAGGACTGGCAGTTTCGCCTTCTAGAAATTTGTAGAACACTCCAGAACATTCGCAAGTTCTCGGGAGCAAAACATTCCGGAACATTATGGAATGCTCGGAAATAATTTGAAACGTTTTCGAAACATCCCAGATCAATGTGGTACGATCAAAGAATTCCTATGGTGTAACAGCTATCAATTTCCCAACTTTTGCTGAATTGAAAATGCTTTTCCTGAGATGTGGGGCTGTGCTGTTGTGAAAGTGTTACCAAAGAAAATATTCCCACAGACTTACGACCCATTAGTGTACTTCCGGCTGTATCTAAAATACTAGAGAAAGCCATAGAAGTACAACTCCTGGAGCACATTCCAGAATTCAACATTTTACCATCGGTTCAGTCTGGGTTTCGGAAAGGATTCAGTTGCACTACAGCATTGCTGCATGTTGTAGATGACATTGTCAGAGCTTCAGATAGAGGACATTGTATAGCTCTAGTACTTCTTGACTTCAGCAGACTCTTTGACACTATAAACCGTGATTTATTGATATCAATTTTACATTACGTTGGTCTGTCAACTTCAGCTATTACCTTGCTTGCCAATTATCTTAATGGAAGAAATCAAATAGTTACGTTTGATGGAACTTATTCATCTCTCCTATCTCTTCAGCGCGGCGTGCCACAAGGTTCTATACTTGGGGCGATCCTGTTTGCTCTTTACTCCCCCAATCTTATCCCGCCAATCAATGGCATGAATATCGAGTTGGTGGAAGAAGCGAGAAATCTTGGCGTCATCCTTGACCACACTCTCAGATTCGAAAAGTACTTGAATAACTTGATACGACGTGCATATTCTTGTTTGAAATTAATATATGGAGTTAGGCAGTATCTTCCACTGAAATTGAAATTAGTATTATGTGAAGCACTAGTTTTATTACATTTCAACTATGCTTACACTGTCTATGGACCACATTTGAGTAAGCAGTAAACGTAAAATTCAAAAAGTAGACAACTCGTGCTTGAGACTTATTTATGGAATGAGACGTTCTCAGAGAATCTCTCCATAAGTTCAAAGAAGCCTATTGATTAAATATGAATAACAAAGAATCTTGCATGCCGCCAACCTATTCCATAAAATTATTCTTACCAGAAAGCCTGCCTATCTTCATAGAAAAATTTCTTTTCGAACGGATGTTCATAACGTCAATATCAGGTTCAGGGGAACACTTACTTCACCTTCTTTTGAAAGTGAATTTTTCCTCAGGTGTTTCAGTTATTGAATATGCCATGTGATGAATGACCTTTCCCTCGAATTACGTACAGCTGGGTTCCAAAAATTCAAGTATTAATCTATTTAGTCATTTATTCAATACACGTCAGTGATATGATTTCAGAACTTCATATCGTTTTGCTCCTGCTTATGTAAACTTACTTGTCGTAGTGTGGACAAATTTGTATATTTTTCTTTGTTTTTGTATCATTTAAAGAAAATTCAATAGAGAGGTATTTTTTAGGGTTGAGTGGAAGAACAGTACAGTTGTTGAATTCATTCAGGAACTGAACTGAACTTCGCCCTTCATTATCAAAAATTTTCTGTTGATGTATTTCCTCAATCTTGTTATTTTAAATATTTTTTTAAAATAACAAAGACTATTATTATTACTTCTAGAGAGAGAAAAGACACAAAATAAGTAGGTACAGGAAAAACTTTCTAAAGATATGTAGAGTATATACTTTCAGATACAAACTGGAGGTAAAACCCTTTCGCAACAACTACTCTCATATGAATATTGAAATTACAAGAAAATCACTATTTTCCATTCGGTTTGTACCAAAAACATTAGTTATGAACCTGATTTAATTCATGAAGATGTCGAAGTAGAAAGCTTTCTTCCCCACAAACTAATCTGTCCTAAAAATTCAATCACAATTTTACCAATGAATATTTTTTTTTGTTTCAGAGTTTTTTGAAAGGAGAAACACAAATAATGGCCGACGAAGCCTTTCAGAACGCTGTACAAAATTATTACGATGTTTTTTTGAAATCTGAAAGGGTCGTCAAAATGGTGCACTCCGGAGCTTGTTCACAATACGACTTCAGAGAAGTTTTTAGGAATAATATAGAAAAACGAGTTAGGTGAGTGAAATATCGCAATAACGGAATTCATTTTATTTGGTTTTATGCAAATGAACTTTATCAAAACGACCCTTTTGTCGCTTGCTCTCAAAAAGATTTCAGAGAAGTTTTTAGAGGTGTTGTACAGAAAAAGCAGTTAGATAAGTGAAATGTCGCATCGCCGGAACACCCTTATTTGTTTTTGCGCGAAGAAACTTTGCTCATTACGAGATGAAAAAAGAAACCGAGATAATTCTGGAGCTGCACTAGAGAAATATCGATAAGCTCATCTGTTGGTGACAGGATGTGGTGAACTTTTCTAGAATTCTATCTAATTGCCCTATTATATCGGGTTAACTGGATTTCCAGAACACTTTTTTCTAGAGAAAAGTTATTTTCCTATGAGATACGGATATATATGATCCATGAAAGTTTCATTTTCGAGAGATCCTTGCAAGCAAAAAACTATTTGAACATGATTTATCGCTTACGTGACTAATGGATTAATTTTCTTGTGAAGTTTCTTTTGCCAATAGAAAGGCAAAGGTTTAGAATATGGTGCAGAATAAGCTTCAGTACACCCTGAAACGAATCAAACTTGAAAAACTAGGGCGGAAATGATGGTTAAAATACTTTTGAAGTGATAACTTCTTATGTGAGGGTAAACCGCTTTGTTACATAACGCGTTAGGTTGCCAGTCTGTCTGGCTTCCTTCCCTTTCTCTTATGCATATATCAGTGGAAGACAGGCTCCTCCTCTATCGTCGGAAATACGGTCAGTGTTAAGTGTGCGTTGTACATATAGTAATTAGCAAGCACGGAATTCATTCATTATGTGAAGCGTATTTTGTGTATGTACATTATTAGTATCATTATTTAGTCTTACAAAAGTAACAGTCGACATATGGTAGCTATCATATATCTATAGAGTGGACCAAATTGGACAATTTTGAAGGGAAACTAGATAGACTAGACTAGACGCACACTTTGATCAACTAGGCTTTCGACGAATGCAATTATTTACTGGTAGCTGTTAAATTTTCATTCAAGCAGTAAAGATGCTCTTCAATTAGTGGTTTTTCTTCAGTTTTCAAACACATTCGCAATGAAGTATGAGAATTATGAAAAATGGAATATGATAATCTGTTTTATACAAACCGGGGAAAATGCAGAAGCAGCAAGCAATTTGTATCACGAGAGGTATCCAGAGAGAAGACGACCTTTCAGAGACATTTTCTCAAGATTGCGACAAAACCTAATTGATGGTGGTCAATAGAGATGAACAGTTGGATGAAATATTCGTTTTAGGAATTGTTGAAAATAATCCCAAAACGTCAACGCGAAATATGAAAATATCAACAGACCTACCAGACCATGGCTTTTTGTCAGTGTCTGTGTCGATCACAGAATTTCGTTGAATAAATTGTATTCGTATGACATTAGGGGTAATGCCTTTAATTGGATTGAGTTCTTCACTAAAAACAGAAGACAGTTTGTTTCAGTTACCGATCATCAGTTTATATCCAAATCCTGAACTCAAATTTTGAAAATTGGGGTCTCTCAAGGATATGTTTTGGCAGCAATATTATTAATATTTTATTGTAACGATATGAATACCGCAATCACTGATAATATATGCATTATATATGCGATGAAACTTCATTATCGGTATTTAATAGGTGCGATATTCTCTGCATTTCAAATCTGGAAAAACCTTTTCTATTTGATTTCACCGTCGAGAAAAAACTTGTTCTAACATTATAAAATAAATGCCAACAACAGCGAACTCCCTAATGCCAGTGCACATACATTTTTAGGACTTCCTGACCTCAAAATTATCTTTTAAGTATTACATATTTTATGAGAAATCTCAACATTATTTTAACCAGTGAACAAATATTGAATCATTACCATTACCATGTAGAATCACGAAATACATACGGCATTTGTCTAGGGGGCGGTTCTTCATCAGCGATAAGTGCGTGTATGTCGCACAATAAAGATTCTCCGAATTTCGGCTGGTGTCAGCCCGCAAGCATCATGCAGAGACCTATACCCCTGCACGTTGTCTTGGGTAAAATAGGGATGGAGCCCAGCTCCCTTACCCTTTCGGCTGACTTTTGTCGAAGAAAGACAAATGGGTTCATGACTGAGGGGATGGCGGTATGAAGTCCTTAGACATCAGTACCGCCCTTCACGGGATACCTCTACCTGGCTGGGGTGGGATGGATGAAAAAGCTATTCGTCCGTTAAGGGGGACATGAGGGCCTCATTCGACAGAGTGTCGGGGCCTTCTATATCGGGAGGGGTCGTCTACAGCATAGTCTATAGCTTCCCTAACTAACGGATTTTCTTGAGTTTCCGCACCTTCAAAAACTCGCCGATTCCTCGATTGAATGGACTGCCGAATGGAAGGCAGCCGCAAATCTCTGCGGATGGCTTTATTCCGCACGAACCAAGGAGCATTTACAATCATCTTCATTAGTTTATTTTGCAGTACCTCCAGAATGGAGATATTATATTTCGCTGCTTGTCCCCAGACGCCTGAAGCATACATGATGACAGGCTTGAACATCGTGTTGTAGATGGTAATCTTGTTTTTCAACCTCATTTTTGACTTTCTGTTGATCAGAAGGTACAGACTTGCAATCCGACTCTCGATCCTAGATTTGACGTACATGAAGTGCGGGTTCCAAGTGAGTCTACGGTCTATTAGAAGGCCGAGGTACTTTACCCGCGCTTGCCAGTCAATCTCCCTTCCAGAGATTCTCACATTTCTGCCCGGAGAAGAAATATTCATATTTATAAAGAAATAAATTTTGGAATATTAATCTCACCCAACTACCTATATAGTAAGGTTCTAGTAAACGTCTGTCGGAAAAAACTACTTTTCCGACTAATACCATGCTGGATATTGAATTATATCCGACAGATATTCATGCAAGATTCCTCACAGAGGCTAGTCTCGTAGATGTTTCTCATTCGTCCAGCAGCAGGACCGTGCTGAAATTATTCAAGTCGATCACCTGCAGATCGCGGTTTCGAGGTATTACTTCTCGTCAGTACAAAAAAGATCCTACCTAGACAGCACAGTGTCTGGGACTGGATTAATTTCAACACGGCTCCGCTACATATATGAAACCTTCGTCTGAGAGAAAGATTGTTAACTAGTAACAACTCCATCTCGTGAACAAAGCCCCAAACGGGGAAGAAACATCCCATATATCTAAATTTTAACAGAAATCAAAAGTGAACACTATCGAGGAGAGATACATACATAGAATTTATTTCCTTATACGTATGTATCTCTCCTCGATAGTTTTCACTTTTGATATTCATATTTGAAATGTGCGTTCATATTAATACTAATCAATTATAGTTTGGACAATATAGCGTGTATCATAGTATTGACACGAGAAATCGTAATAACTTTTACATTAAACCCTATAAATACAACCTAACTTGCAAGTCCTCTTTTCATTTGGGATTGAAAATGTTCAACAAGTTACCTCTTTCTCCTAGAGAAATTGATTGAATCCTTGTTCTCAAACGCAATTTGAAAATGTTTTTACTAAATCACAGTTCCTATACCGTTCAAGAATTTCTTAATGTTACTGTATGATTCTTCTTTCCTTTTTTGTACTCACATACCTGATTATTCCAATACATGTTTATGTCTTATGGAAAATAAATATTATTATTATTATACATATTATTCCTAATTTTTCAATTTTCATCTCCCATTCTTCAGTTTTTCCATTCGTATTATATAAAAATAGATTCTTGAATAATAAATACAACTAATCAGATTTATTGACTAATCGATCTCATCCGATTTTTTTGTATTCGATGGAAGAACAGGCAAACACTTGGCCTTTCAGTGTATTTATATTGCATATTCATGTCTGAGGAAAAAACTACACGTCGAAATACTCATACAACTTGTTTGAGTAGTCGGCGTTCAGTTGATTAAAGTGATACTTTTTCATGAAATGGACAAGTCACAATGGAAAAATCATAGAAGAATGTCTGTTACGTACAGAAACTACTAGTAAGTGAAAACCCGCAGGTCTTATACCGATATAGCTCCTCCGAACTATACCGGAAAATAAATCTATTTCGGGAAAGTAAAAGCAATATTCCCATAAACGTGCGTACGTGAGAAATTCAAGGGCTCCTCATACAGGCACCTAACTTCAAAGGACCTGTAACGAACTGTCTATTTACAACAGTTCGTCAAACGACATTTAATGATGTTGTTTATAGTCGTCCCATAAACAATTTCTCTTTGATGGTCTTCAAAGGACCATCAATCCTCTCATCACCACATATCTAGTGTGCGCATATACAAACAGAACACTCTTAATATCAGAAACTACCTATTTGGATTATCAGAATACATATTTATTTTCCATATGTTACGTTGTGTAGCGTGTTTGTGAATAATATCTGTTTCAATTCCATCACGAATGTTCGGAATACTCAATTTAATAAGAAGAATTTCGTGTAATTCAATGTTCTCACTAACGTGAGAACCAAATATAAATTGACTTGAAATGAATAGAAAAAAAGCAATGTTTTTGTCACTTTACAGACTGATTGTGCATTGTACAGGGTTTATCAAGAATTGCTTCACTTGCTTGTTTACAATGTAGGAGTTGGACTTGTAATAAAAAATAAACGCAGTTTCGATATCTTTGTTGATAGTCGAACTGATGAGAATCATTAACATAAATTGTTGACATTCTTAACATTGACACTGATAGACATTCTTGAACCTAATGAGCATGAGTTAACATTTCAGGAATGGGCACCTGCTAACTAAACATTTGCTTTTCGTCAGTTAATAAAGGAAAACATGAAACCAGGGGTCCGTAGGACGACTGGTTTTATCAATTGCTGGTGGCTTGACTGATATTGCTCAAAAGTAACAGTTTCAATTTGAAAAAGGGACATTCATCTGAGAAAGTTTTTAGGTCGAGTGGTATTCGTAAAGATTATTGTCTGAAATATTCTCAGCTG